TTGGTTTAGTAGCATCTACTAGAGTTGTCTCCAAGCTACTCCTAGATTCTGCATCCATAACCGCAATGATGCTGTCCAGTGAAGGAATGTCATCTTCAGCCGCATTTTGAGTACACCCAACAGCATCCCGCCAATCAACTTCCATTGAAAGACTCCACCAAACCCTCTCTGCAACTTCACCTTCCCAAGGCATAGAGTTGACTGTCACTTGCTTTCTTGGAAAGCCGAGTGGGAAACCGTGGGCTAGCTTCCAGAGGGAACAATCTTTGCTAGTGTCATGCCAAACAGAGATAAAACAACTTGTTGTACAGAAAACGGAAGCAACAAGCAACACTTTCAGTCCCCACATTAATATTGTAGCTATCCATCGGGGTGAAGCTTGAATCTGACAAAACATGAACCCCACCACACAAAAAGGCACTGCAATTTCACCACCATGAACATGATAAACCATCTGGTTAAGGGTTTCAACATCGCTTGGAAGATCAAAAGGATCAAATGTGACCTTCCTTGTCTCTTTATGTGCAGCTTGTAAGGCTGGCTTTGTTTGAGTATATGTAGCCAGTTCCTGGTCAGGGTGTTGAGACCCAGTAATATATATATCCTCATTTAACTGACTGCAGACACTAGATGTTTCCGTACAGCCATTTTCCCCATCCTCCTCTTTTTTCTTGAGTATCTTGATCCACTTACCAGCATTAATCATAAGAAACAGGTAGTCAAAACCTACAGCCTCCTCTTGAACAAGTATACAAACCGTTGGCAGCCCCTTAACATCTTCACCCACGATTAAGACATCTGTGAAGAGACCAGGAAAGAGATCTTTGATCTGCCTCAGATTCACGTCAGCTTCAAACTCAGTAACATATCCAACATGTTGAGTGCACATCATAGAAGTAACACTATCTAATCGGAATCCATCAATACCCATTGCTACTCTATTGGAACCAACGTACATATAATGACATGATCCTGAGCCCAACTTGGTAGCTAACTGATGGTAATGTTCAAGTGTAGTTCGTAAATACCTGTCAGCATCCCAAATTAATGTGTTGTTTCCAAGGATAGTTGCAGATTCTCCACAAAGAGCAGCCAAAATGGTAAATGCAATATGAGGTTCAGTACGAGAGTTCTTAGAAGTGAATTGTGAGAAAATTTCCCAGCCAGCCAGCTCCGGTTGTACTCTTCGAATCACAGGTACAGGAAAGGACGCCCAGTTACGTTCATCAATAGCATCAGTGTATGAGCTGAGGATTCCCTCCAATCTATCTTGAATAGCAAACTTTCCTTTGCACACAACCTCCATACGATCTACAAAACTTCCATGTGAAAACTCTACCCCAAGTGGAATCTTTGCATCTGATTTCCCAGAACAGGGGTGAGCATGTTTCTCTGGTGCCTCTGAATCAGTCCTTTCATCCTTAAGCTCACTGAGTTTCCCAAATGCAAGTTTAGTCCCATCAGATGAAACATGTGGATCTAAGATAGGCAAGGTTGATGTACTGGTCATATACACCAGGTCAAACCCCAGGAACATGCCAGCGTATCCATCAGTAGTATATCCACCCATTTTCTTCCAATTTCCAGTCATTCTTTCCCCCAATACATTTTGAGTGTTCTTACTAGAAGTATCTCCATCAAATCTGAAGCCCTCAAACTCAGTCAAACCTTTTGAAATCCCCTTTGATATCTGACGGTGCACACTTGGAATATCATAAGTATGGATTCCTTTGCCAGACCTGCTCTCCTCATCAGCCCTGGTGAAACTGTTGTTCATTCCCAACGCAGGATCATGGTGGTAGGTACAATTTCCTTCCTGATTGTAAGGAATATCAGGTTTGAGCTGTTTGGATTCCACCAGAATTTCTGGTGGGTATCCTGTCTGTTGATTAGTGTCCTTGTCAGAATTTGATTCCAGAACTGAAGTATCTGCCTGTTTACATTCCAAATTTGGTGTCAACAATAAAACCCCCTGCGTAGACACTTGAGCCGACTCAGAAACCTTCGACGAAATTTGCGTTGACCATTGGTTATGCTCATTTAACCGTGGCAAACTAGTAGTAACTGTTATAGCCGGAGACGAAGCTTGCAATCCCAGCGAAGCCAGTAGCGACGAATTCTGCGAAGTAACCTGCGAACCGGTAACATCAACTTCGAATTTCGAATTGGACTCTTGTGCTCGTGAGGATGCTGACGGACTAGGAGAAGAAGTTTGCGACCAATCCTGCGAACTCACAGAAACGGTTCGCGATTTCGAACGGTGAGACGAAGTTCTCGACTTACCTGCAGAGGATCTGGAGTCGCGGCTACCATTCCACACACTCGTTTTGGAGGTTTTTGATCGGCCACTAAAGTGGTGATTAAGCTCCTTCCTAATCATCTTGCGTATCTCTTCGCAATCGCGCTTGGCTTTCTCACTACTGATTCTGTCCTCTTCGCGATGCCTCTCATACTCGCGCTCCATTTCTGCGGACCACCTGGCCAACTCGCGCTTCATGTTTGCGGATCGCCTCGCCAACTCGCGCTCCAATTTCTCCAATCTTCCTTCCATCGCTCTGCGTGTATCGACCGTTGATAGGCTACAGGAACGAATTCTCTGATACCAATGTTAGGTTACTGTAATTTGAGAGCTAATAATGGAGAAAATCCAATATGTAACAATGCCGGTAGTTCAGTTCGTACAACAGAAAGTAGATAGAGAACGAAACAGATTTCCCAAGTCGTAACAAGGTTCCGACTCCCAGTCCCAAGTCCCAAGCCTAAGATAATTCCAACCTCCCCTCTCTCCTCCCAGCTCACCTTATTTATTCTTTTTCTAATGGGCTTCCCTCAATCTATCTATTTAATTGGCCCAGCCCACTATTACATTTTACTAACATATTAAGCCCATAAGTCCAGGTCTCTAACAATTTACCAACCAACAAGAAAGATGAATAAGGTCAAACAATGATGTCCAATAGAATAACTAGGGTGAAGTTTGGGATAAACTGTTTATGTTTGAGGGACTGGTTTACTTTTAGGATATAGTGGGGTTTGGGTTTGAGATCGTTAAATGATTCGACCATCATACTATTAATACTACAAACAGTCTTGGTGTACACCCTGGGTTACACCCTGGGGTACACCATATATAAGGCCCAATTTTTTTTTTACCCCCCCACACACACAGTAAAAGCTAAAAAAACAAACCGCCTCTCCATTCAAAAATCGACCCATCTTTCCCGCATCCCTTCCCGCTCCGCCTTCCTCACCCCTTGTGTTGCACACCTTCGCCGTTCATCCTCATCCCCATTTGGAAGACTTAACACGTCCAGCTTCCTCCTCCATCCCCATTGAGCAGACTTCGCGAGTTCGGCTTCCTCCATCCCGACTTCCAAAGCCAGCTTTGCGTCAACAACGAAGGGAGAAGACCCCATTGTTGGAAGACGAAGACCTCAGAGTTTCGAACTTCTTCGCGAACCAGACTGTCCGAAATGGCCGAACGGTATGTATGAAGTCATCTATTCACTTTTTATGTTTTGGGTTTGAATTTCAGTTGAATATAGTCATGACTTTGGAAGAAATCGGTTGAATGGCAGTTGGTTCATCATGAATTGGTGAAGTGTGACTTCCAATTGCAGTGTTTGTGTGACCTTAGGGTTTTAATTTTTTGTTTTTGTAGGCTTGTATTTCAGTTTAATAAAATCAATTTGATTTTGTGTTGGAAAAGTCATGTGCACTTAGTTTAAGAATTTACTGAAGATTTTTGCTAAATACCAAGTAAATCGGCTGTTTGCATCATGGAAGTGCAGGTCCCAGGGTTTGGTGGCAGAACTGGTTGACACCAGTTCAAACTAATTCCACCTTGTAGTCTTGTAGAGTTTATTGCCTATTGGAAGTGCTGTTTTTAATTTGAGTGATGGTTACTATAACAACACTCTCAACAGATGCTTTTGTTCTTAATGATTACTATAACAACAATCCCAGACTCTCAGAACTCTTCATGTTTTCCATCAACCCCTAAACTAACTTAATGAAGGGATCCCTGAGTTCAAGGAAAGTTCTGAATGATTTGGGCCACTTTTCTGAAAATATTAGAAGTGGTCATATTTTGTCCCTTTTTTGGGAAAAAGTCATATTTTGTCCATTGAAAAGCTAGGAGTTATATTTTGGTTTTTAGTTAATCCATTCATAATATATTTATGTAGTCTCTAATGAAATATTATTTCAAAAGTATATTATCGGTCAAAGTTAACAAATTTTGACTCGAACAATCACATCAGGAACTTTAACTAGGCATGGAAGGAGTATCTCTTAATCCATGTTAACGCATACCTGATCTCAGAATGTTGCAATATAAAAACAAACACTATATAAGCATTAGATGAGTACTAGTACAGTTAGCATCACTGTTTATAACTTAGTGTTGTTACCTCAGTTTCAAATTCCACAGACTCAACATCAATGTTTATGTCAGCAATGGTCTTTACAAGATCAACTAATAGTCCAGGTCTATCTACTGTCTCTACTCAAAGTAAGCTGTAAAAACATAAGACAATTAGACAAACATGTCTTAAATCATCCATTGCATGCACACACAGCTTTTGCAATGATTGCATCAAATGCAAGCTTAAGTAAAAAACCAGCTTTAATTTAAAATAGAAACTAACCTCCGTTCAGGGCTGTCATCGTAAACATGAACATGGGTCGCTATATCCACATCAACCTGAACATTTTGTACGGAACACATCAAAAGATTTGGACTTGTGGATAAAATGGCAGCAGTGTGGCCTCTTTGTTATGGATTATTAGTTAACAGTGGTGTTTTACATGATTTTTCTATTTATATTTTTGGGTTCCTCCCCTTGCAGAAAAGACTGTTGCCCCAATGCTTTTGCACAGTTGCACGCTTTTAATATTTGCAATTATGTACCTTACTTTTAGTAAATCAAACATAGAGTATATTACTAGTACTACACTACTACATTCTACATCCTGACCTTGAATGTTTTGTCCCTTAGTAATGGCTTTGCGGTCCTATGTCGTCTCCACAACTTGCTTTAGCTTATCTAGGGGTGAGTTTTGTATTTTCGGTTCGCTTTTAACTTTTAAGGCAAAATAACAAAATAAATAGCAAATGTCTGTGAGTCTTGGTTTTGTGAGTTATATATTACTCTCTGTGACTGTTGTTTAACATGTTAAATTGCAGGGCGCTTCACTTGCAAATTCCTGTGAGTGAGCATTTCTCGGGCTCTTATTCATTATGCTTCAAGTATTCCGAAGCCGCGAAGTTGCTGAATGCGCATTTGTCAACAGAGCAGCTCACCATGTTCAAAGAAACTCTGTGGGGTCATTTGCTGGATGCTCCGGAGATGCAATTCTCTGCCCAGATCATCCACATGCTCTTGTTACGCCTAGTGCGTCAACAACTTAGCAGATGGGAAGCTTTTGAACTTTACTTTCAATGATTTTGTCCGCATAACTGGACTACCATCTACCGGTGAGAGGCCTGAGTTGTCCACCGATGAAAAAAAGTTCATTGTTAAGAAGTTCTTCAAGGGATGCACTGAAATTACATATCAGCAGCTGAAGAATAGGATGGAAGAATACAAGGCTCCAAATAGAGGTGATCCACTACAGGGTGTCAAGCTTGCATCTCTGTACTACACACAGTGTGTCCTGCTTTCCAGAGACAAAAGGACCAAAATAAACCCAAAGTTTTTTAAATGGATCGATGACTTTGAGAGTTTCAAGAAGTACCCTTGGGCGTTGGAATCATACAATTCGACCGTGACTCATATGAAGTCGCTAATGGTAGGCCAACCGAAGTTTTTTCAGGAAAGCAAGAAAGACGATCCTACGTACGAAAAAGCGAAGAATACGATGTATGATTTCCCGCATGTGTTACAGGTATGATCCAAATTAAACACACTTAGTATATTTAATAACAAAATTTATCACTACTTTTTCCATTTGTATAGGTTTGGGCGTACGAGAATATACCGAACTTGGAAAAATTAGCCGCTACAAAAGTAGCTGAAGAGAGTTGTTCCATGCTTAACTGGAAAACAGAACGATATTTTCACGCTGCAAAGCTTCACGAAAAAGTCTTCTTTGAGGTAATTATACTAACTCACATCGCTGTATGGAGACAAAATCTGTGTAATCCCTTGCTCAAAGTTGTTATTTTTTGTTCTAGGAGAGTGTGTCTGCTGATGAAGCTGGGGACGAATATTTGTTGGGACATTCGGTTGTGGTTGAAGAATTAAAAAAACTAAGGTTGTGTATTGAAGGTTTGGAGTCTCGGTTGAAAGTTGTTCAGGACAGTGTTGTTGAAATGAAGGCGCTGGTAGTTGCACGCTTTGGAAAATCTGATAAAAACGGTGCTACGAAACCCCTTTCTGGAGAGGATGAGGTAAGCATGTATAACTTATTACTTATATTGTTTGTGTGTACCGGCAGTAATACTTTTGTGAATTTACAGGTTGTTGCTCAAAGAAGCCCCCCAATTCATGAAGAAGGTTGTCATACTCGTGTGAACCCCATTGCTGTAGAGGATGAGGTAAGCATGTATATGTTACTACTTATGTGGAGAGAATGAGGTAACCATGTATACGTTACTACTTATTACTAATGTCAGTGTGCACCGATGCTTCAGTTTATATTGTCTGTGAGTACCGTAACTAATACTTGTGTGAATTTTCAGGCTGTTGTCGAAGGAAGCCCCCCACTTGATCAAGGACCTTCTCATACTTCTGTGAACCCCCTATCTGGATGAGTTAATCATATGTATCCCTTACTACAAAATTAAAGGACTAAAGTTTGCCATATCTGTCCCAGTTTCGCTTTCAAACCTAGCTAGGCTTGTATTAATATATTTAGATTAATTCAATCATACAATCTAGGAGGTTAGCTATAACAATAGTTCTGTATTATGCATAAATGATGGAGGAGTGCATGCCAACGGTGAAATATAACTCTCATATTTGCGGGGTGTATTTTTTTTGGTTAAAGACATGTAAATTACAATCATTTTTTGTTGTTTCTATACAAATTGAGTTCCAGCCTGTTGGAAAAGGAAGCCCCCCAATTGATCAAGAAGCTTCCCATACTTGTGTGAACCCCCTTTCTGGAGAGGATGAGGTAAGCATGTATAACTTATTACTCCCTCCGTCCCAATTTGTAAGATACATTTCGGTTTACGATGTTTGACTGACGATAAAGCAAATTGATCCCTGTCAACACCCAAATTAGTTCTAGAAAATAAAATTTGCATATTCAAAAACTACATTAAATCCGCTACAAAACCTTCAAAAAATAATTCAAACTTCATAAACTTTTGATATATAAAATAAAAGTTTAGGAGTGATTTATGTTGACCAAGTGAATAGTAAATGTATCTTACAATTTGGGACTGAGGGAGTACTTATTATTACTGTCAGTGTGCACCGATGATTCGGTTTATATTGTCTGTGAGTACCGATATGTTGCTACATGTGTGAATTTTCAGGCTGTTGGCGAAGGAACCCACCCACTTGATCACGGACCTTCCTATACTGGTGTGAACACTCTTTCTCAAGAGTGTCATACACTCACAAACCTCATGCTCTGCAGTTCTGAGGTAAACTTTGTGTATGTAATCTTAAATATCTGTACATATACACTATGAATGAGGTTGTCTAAAAATAATGTCTGTACATATCTCAAATTCAAGGTCTGAAAATTAAGTACACGGTGTGATAGTATGTAGTTATTTTTTTAATGTGTAGTTCGGTGCCGATAAATTTGATGAAATAAGTGAAAAGGCCCCATTTGAAAATTTGGACTGGGCTGAGGTCGATGAAGAAGGTGGGTCGGCTACAATAGATGTTCTGGTGCTTGAAGAGCAAAGCCGCAAAGCAAATCTTAAAAGAAAAAGAAAGTGCTCTGAGTACCGGTGTAGCCCATTCACCGATCCTACAAGAAAGAGGGCCAAAGGACAAAACACCGACCCAAGCCCAACATTTGTAGACATATGTGATGATGAGTGGCTACAGTTGAAGAAGTGGGTTGAAGAGGATGACAACCTAGAACCAACCGTGGTTGTAATTGCTATTACGGGCTATAATCAAGGGAGCCATAAGTTTTTCCGAGACCTGATTGAACCGGAGGAGTGGTTGTCGAGTGAAGTAAGTAACTAGACTACAAATATTGTGTGAGTATACTAAATACATTATCCATGTAAGTAGAATTTATTGAAGAGTAACTTTTTTACTTAATTATTTCAGCACATAGGCGCGATTTGCTCACTCATACACAAGTCCATGGTGAACAAAAAAATTGGCCCCATTAGTCCCTACTTTACGGTATTTTACTTATTCAATATGATAAACTAGTGTAACGTGTTAATACCAATCCAACATTTCATTTCATTGACTATAGTGTTTTAATGTACTATAAATTTCTGAACAATGACATTAAAGTTGCTGAGCACTGGGCAGAAGACATGTTACTTCCACGAGTTAATTGGTCAAGTTTTGAAAAGGTAATTATGTGAAATGCCGGTGAACCTTTTATTTATGTTTGTGTGAAACAAAAGTTTATGTATTCAAACATTTGTTAACTGTCTGTGTGCACCAATAGTTTCTGTATTCAAACATTTGTTAATTGTCTGTGTGCACCAACGGTTTCTGTGTTCAAACATTTGTTACATACCATTGTCAATAGGTCTTAATTCCATTGAATGTGGATGGCCTACATTGGATATTGGCGGAACTTAACTTTAAAGCGAAGGTGGTTAGAGTGTATGACTCTTTGCGGAGTGCCAAATCTAAATCAAGTGCCCATCATCTATGCATTAGACTACCGTATTTACTTAGTGTGATAAAATGCTTCGAGTCTGCTGCAGTTTCAGATGGGTTCAAACCATGGCCTGTGGAGGTAGTTCCCGGTGTACCGCAACAACGAGGGTATCTACTTTTTTCACCCATGTTATTGGCTATGCAAAATATAACCAAAATGTATGCAAACCACAAAGTACATACTTCGTATTATTGTTTGCTTTTTCAGGAGTGCGGAGTGCGGAGTGATGACGATGACATTTGCAGAGCATTTGACATTGGAGTATCCTTTGACACCTGGATGTGACTATGACAACATGTTGAACATGAGATGCCAGTTTGCGGTGCGCTTATGGCGTCTCAAGAAGACTGATGTTTGACACCGTTTAATTGACATTATTAGTGTACTTGACATTATTAGTGTATTTGACAATATGTTTTGTACAATAGTGTTGCGCTTTTTGTACAAGGTTATACACTGGAATGCCAAACTTTAATGCTTCCATATTTTGTCAACATTTTCATGTTTTGGATAAGCAATTGTTAATAAATTCAATTGTTACAAGGTTACAACATTTTCAAAGTTTTAGTAAAATATTACTAAATTCAAACTTTACTAAATTTATTATCATAGTGTTAGATTATTATCTAGCTATATTAAAATTGTTAGCACTATAAAGTGGTTAAAAGTAAGAATATTTTAATGGGAACATAATGTTAGATAATTCCAAAACTATCACCAATTCAAAATAGTGAAACAAACTATAGAAATAATTAGAATGCGTTAGATGATGTTTTTGCATTAGTAGGAGGTTAATACACTTGTGTATTAAAAGAACCATATGAATCCTGGAATACACTTGTTTGTGGCATAACATAGGCTCCTAAGCAAAAAGGTGTGCACAATGCATACACACAATATGTGCATTTACATCACAATCAATGTCATATTCAAAATATTCATTGCAAAAAACATGCACACTACACGTGCAATTACAACACACGCAATGACATATTCAAATCTAAATCTAAATATTGAACACTTGAACTTCCGACCTCATGTCCAACCTCAACAACCGACGAAGCTTGGCCCTTTTATTTGTTAGCCCGTACCTAATAATTGGAAAAAGATTTGTTAGTGCACATGAAACGACAATCAATATTCATATATAAGTATAAAATAAACTTACAGTTTTGGTTTTCTTTCCCTTTTCAAGTGGTCCCTTAAGGCGGTTTTTGCGGGGTGCACGTGAGCACTCTACTACCTCGCTAAGCAACCATTTTGCATGGATGGTTGAGGTTTCAAACAGTTTTTCAACCTACTACCTCTTTTGCCTGCACGTGAGCACTCTACTACAAACGCGATCAAGTTCCCTTCTTTATCCTTCTTTGAAGTGCGGTGTCTAACAGGAAAGCCAACACATTTGGCATACTTTTTGTAGAAATCATAAACTGCATCTTTTGTAGGCAACTCCATGCCTGTCTTTGGAATTTGTTCACATTCATCACCAATGTTATCTCCATCTGTTCACATAATCAAATAGTTATATTACATTAACTCATTCATAGATACGACAATAATCTTTTCTAGGTATACTTTATATTAGTAAGGTATATATTAATAATATACAGTAAAATAGTGTATGAAAGTTTTCCTACATTTTTCATAAAATGTTGGATGAAATATATATTTAGTCCACCAACTACTATATGGAAATGTGGCTGCATTTTTAAAACTATGTGATTCTATAAATGGCCTACCTATATTTCTAACTTAAATATTTGTTGTTCTCAATGACTTCAAAATTTTTATTTCAAAATAGTATAAAACAAAACAAAAATGACTTTGAGGAAGAGAAGCCTAATATTATCTCAATGAGGATTTTCAGTTGTCTGTGCATACCAACACGGAGTATGTAAGTTGTCTGTGTATTTTAAAGAAAATACCTCCAACATCTGCGTTTACATCAAATACACCTTCGTAGGTATACATTAACAACATTCATAGATACATACATTAACTAATTCATAGATACAACATTCATAGATACATACATTAACTCATTCATAGATACAACATTCATCTTTATAGGTATACATTATCTCCATGAGGATTGTTCAGTTGTCTGTACATACCGACACTGAGTACGTAATCTGTCTATGTATACCGACACTGAATATGTAATCTGTCTGTGTGTGTCAAAGAAAATACCTCCAACATTTGCGTTCATCTTCTCCCTATTATTCCCTTCCCCGTCAAAGATGTCATCATCCCGATCATCAGTGATCGGAGCTTCGTTGCCACCCGTCTCACCTAAGTGTTCATCCCCAGCTTTGTTCGGAGCTCCATCTTCTTCGTTCACAGCTCCACTATTTCCGTCGTCCATGGCAACTCCATCTTCTTCGTTCACAACTCCATTATTTCCGACGTTCACAACTTCTTCGTTTCTTCCTTTTCCATCATCCATCATCCGTCGCTAGGGCTGTGCATTAACCGGGTCGGACCGTATTTAAGACCTGAACCGGACCGGAATGAACCGGTCCGGACCGGACCGGTATTAACCGGTCCGGGTTTCGGTCCTTAGTTTTTCAAGATTCCGGGTTTCCGGTCCGGTCCAGGTCAAACCCGGAAAAAACAGGTCCGGACCGGAATGGACCGGTAACATATTGTTCTGTAAAATATATACTTCGTTCTATATCATTAGTCCATTTATATTTGGCTTACTAGTATGTTTATGGCTTACTTTTGTCTTTTATTATATAAACGAATATATATAATTGTGTATTTGTTGGCTAATTATTTCCTAAGTTGTTTATGATTTTTTTTTGTTCGGGTGTGCACTACTATGATCGTAGTTTATATTTGTTTGATTTTTCCAAATCGCTTTTTATTTGTTTCTTTATTTGTAGGTGTGTATGTAGTGTATACGAGTATATTTTTGGGCGTAATTTAGTTTTTATTACTCTACAATAGATTTTGCCATTTTAATATACACAAAAGATTATAGTTTTAATTATTGTGGGAAACTAATTGTTACAATTGAATAGTTTTGATGATTATATTCCAAAATTAATAAATGAGCTAAACAATTATTTAGTCTATTTAGCATATTCACACATAAAATTATAATTTGAAACAACAACAACAACATTCAAGCTTTATTCCTATAAAAAATTCGATCGACTAAGGGGGTGTTTGGATCTGATTCTCAAAACTGATTCTGCTCCTTCAGGTAGCAGAAGCAGAAGCTGGAGTGTTTGGGTGAAATTCCAGAAGCACTTCTGGTGCTCTAATTTACTCTCAGAATCAGTTTTTTTAGAAGCTGGGGGGTACCAGCTTCTGAAAACTGATTCTGATTCTGCTTCTACTTTAAAAAAGAAGCAGAAGCAGAATCAGTTCCAAACACCCCCTAAGAACACTATAAGATAATACTTCGTATGTCTTTTTTTAAAACCGGGTCAATTAGGGTCAAACCCGGACCGGACCGGAAAATTCAGGTCCGGACCGGTCCGGACCGGTTAGATTCAGGTCCGGTCTTCGGTCCACAGAAAATGATGATTCCGGTTCCGGTCCTAACCGGTTCTGGTCCGGTCCGGTTTTGGACCGGTGCACACCCCTATCCGTCGCAGGTAGGTTTCGTCCAAAGCTCCATCGTTTCCGGTCACCTCTCCACCTACCATCAAATATGCTAGAAAATCATCCATCAGATTTGAAAAAAAAACAGAGCGTCAAAGGCTGGAAGAAGAGAAAGAACATAGTGAGTGAGGTGGGGAGGGTTGTGCGTGAATGAGGAGAGGAGGGGTAAAGAAAGGCAGTAAATAATGAGTCTATATATGGTGTACCCCGGGGTGTAACCCTGGGTGTACAACAAGACTTTTTGTTAATACTATTCCTATCATAATGGTTAGAGACATCCCCTTTTCGATTGAAGATAAATCTACCAAATTTTATGTGTCTTAATGTTAGAGTCTAACAATTGGAATAATACTCGGACGTTTTATTTAACGCTCAATTGTTTTTAATAAGTTCTTTTCAGCTTTTGACTTAAAAAAGTCGAATTTGGTGTTTTCAAGTTAAAGCCTCTACTTGGCAGATTTCTATATTTTCTCTTAATTTGGGCTAGCATTTTCTCGCTAAGGTTTGGGTAGATCGGCGTCGCTTTCGATGATCGATCGAGTAGTTTTGAACAGCGTTTCCGGAGTCTTTTCAGGACATAAGGTGCGTAGAGAAGCGAAAGGGACCTAGCGACGGGCTAGCGTTTCAATCTGGCCGCGAAGCTCTCCTCACGCAGCTTTCTTCCACAGTAGTCCTACGGCAGCGGCTTCGTCCGCTTCAGGTGAGAACTCACGCCGAAGACTCACCCTCCAAACCAGAAGTCTTCGAGATTCGGGGCGATTCACACCGCTTTTGTTGGGTGATTCCACTCCGGTGGCCAAGACGGGGTTCCTGTGGTGCGATGGGAGCAATCAGTGTTTTCAGCGGTCGCCGTGAACTAGTGGTGGTTAGTATTGGGAGGGCTAATGTGACACCTCAAAAATTTAAATAAAATAAATAATTTTATTAGTCAGATAAAATGTTACAAAAGTGACATTTTAGTAATTAAGTGAATCAGATAAAGTTTTAACATCAGTGACATTTTTTATCAGATAAAAATGTTTCAATAATAAAAGTGACATTTTTATAGTGATTATGTTGACCAGATAGGATCTTGACTTAAATAACAAAAGTGACATTTTTGTAACAAGTGATAATTATACATATGATATACGGAGTAAATAATAAAGGTGATATTTTAACAACTTTGAATCAAGGATATTGGCTAGTAATATATGTACAAAAGTACACTAAATACCACACAAAAATAACTCTTCGGACCTAATATATACATGTATACATAATACGGAGTAGTAAAATACTTGCCATAACAATAATATACCCCACGCGTACTAATAATAATATATATAAAACGAGTATAACAATAATTTAGATATGTAACCAACGACCAACACACATGCATCATAGATATGTAACCAACGACTAACACACATGCATCATGCATGTATATGTCAAAACTTGTGAGATAAGGCCAAAGATAAGAAAAGTACTACCCAGCTTAGGTGCAATGTACTCTGTTTAAGCAAGACCTCACTGGATCCAAAGGTCGTGCGATTCTAATAATAGTAGGCACATGGGATTCTATACAACTTACTACTCCTCAATGATACACCTAGCAATACTGCGTACAAACATATCTTCATAAACCCACCCATATCTTTTGGAGACAAAACCTACGATGCGTATTGTATGCAATGTACTTAACCTTAGCCTGGAAGCAGTGTTTAAATAGCAATCACCCAATCGACCCTCACTGCATATACCCAAAACGAGCGAATGACTTAGAAAGAAAAGGGAGCAAAGGAAAGGGAAAAGAAGGAAAGGAAAGAGAGAAAGTAAAGTCGGGCGTAGGAGAGAAAAGATATATAGTGAAGGAGAGAAAGAAAGGAAAAGTGCGAGAGAAAAGAGAGAAGAAAGGGAAGGATGCTCAATCGTCGCCGGAAACCGCCGGACTGGGTCCCACACCGGAGGTAGAACGCCGTCGCTGTTGTAGGAGTAACTAGTGCCGGAGGAGGAAAAATGCCGCGGTGATTGCTAGGCTACGTCTCCGAGTCTCCGTCTAGTCCTCAGATTATCAACCGGCCATCTCTTCCATCGTGAAGGAGGTAAACTCCACCATCTATAGCCGAAACCTCATTTACGTTTTTTTTGGCTAAGTCTGGTTCTAGTTCTGATTGTGCCGGAGCTTTATTATGATAAGAGAATAAACTTAGGCTCTAGTTTGGGATTGGCCGTAGGTAATGTTTATAGCACTGAAATGACAATAAATAGTAATAATAGAAATAGTTACAATGACATTAACAATAATAATAATAATGATACGGATAATAATAAAATCAACCGGGTTGGGAGAAATTGAATAAAATGCAAGAAATAGAATAATGTACTGATTGTGAAATTTTAATAGTTAAAAGGTGGTTGCGGTGAAGACTGAAATAACAACTTGAATATGAGTGAAACGAGTCGAGGTAAGTGTTTACATCAATCAAAATTACTATTCCTCTAGTTAATAGTTTCAAAAACTTGTATGTAAACTATGTCCCAAGTTTTGAGATTCGATATTATTTGAAAATATGTTAAGTATTTGGACTTGCTAAAAATTACTATTTTACTAGTGTTATTAAATATGTGAGTTTTGGAAACTTTGATAAAATATTTGGATATTTGAAATATGGCTATTTTGTGTACAAAATAGATGGATGGTATGACTATTTTTGAGAAAGTGTGATTTGGATATTAAGTTCTTTTTGGAAAACTACAATTTGACAATGGATGGTATGACTACTTTTGGGAATATGACAAGTCCTTGTTTCTATAAAAATTATTCTGTAATATTTGAAATACTAGTGATTTTGAGAATACAATTATTATTTCTAAAGTTTTGATAAAAATCATACGTAGTATTTATTTGAGACTAGTAAATCTGTGTATATATCTATACAAGATCGAGTTTATATTTTCAACGGTTTATATTTACATCTCATAGACGTTTTTGATAAATCATGATAAATGTATACGGAGCATATTTTAAACTACTACATTTAGGTGTACATTTATAACTATATTTTGAATCTATAAAATTTTGGATGATTTTGAGAGGTTTTGATAAATATATAATACGTAGTACTTATTAGCTATTTGATACGTGATATTGAAGATATGGTTACAAGTACCTAAATTTTCTAAAATGTATATATATTTTTGCCTCTTCGATAATTGAAGGAATTTCAATAAAGTTATACATGTATGCAAAACTACTATTTTTTTTGAAATTATTATTATTTTTTTAAATATACGTTTATGGTAAAAATTTATGTTTACGAACATTTACTATTTTACCTCATCAAAATTTTTGAGATGTTTTAATAAAAATATTTATTATAAAATTCGATACTTGAATAATATTACGAGCATTCGACTATATAGAAAATAAACACCTTTATATATGAGTATAACTAGTACTTATTTTTATAGCAATGTAGATTTCGGTGCCAATCAAAAATGATTTACCACATAGTTATATGTATGCAATATTTAAAATATGGGAATTATTTATGACTTGGAAATTTTATGATTACATGGATTGAATTTTTGGAACATATGAGTATTGGTGGATTATTTTCTATGGAGGATTAAATGTATATTATTTTTAAAGAATATTGGTGGATTGATGTTTATTACAAATGATATCTTTGGAAGTGTGACATGAATGATTTTGGGGAAAACTTAAAGTTTTCATAATATATTTTTACGTCTCGAGAGAAACACGAGGCGTGGGTGGTAAGGCTGGGCACGGGCCGGGTCGGGGCGAGTAATACAAAATAAAATGGAACCGCCGGTTCCATTGTACGGTTCGGTCCGGTCCGGGTATTACAATTTTCAAAATAGGAACCGGAAATTACCCGGCCCGTTTGAAACGGGTCGGTCCGGTCCGGGTTTTACGGTTTCTATTCTCATGTCTTGAAATTAGTAATAACTCACAAAGTTCCAAAAATCAATAATCAATAATATAGGACATTAGCAAGTTTCAAAATAACAACATAGTGGTGCATATATAACACAAGTGAAAAGTCCAATACTCCATATTTTCTTGTACATAAGTTTCAAACAATTAAAGAAATTCCAAAAATATTCAACATAGCCAAAATACATATTTTCTAACATTTGTATTTAAACATGTTGTCTAACATCACATATTTAAGTGATTGCTTTTTTTTATATTAAATTTTCAGTATTAGCCAAAGTTGACACATACATGGTGGGTGGTAAACACAATTTATATGTTTTAATAACAATATAACAAAAAAATATAACAAAATCGTCTTTAACAAATAATTAAATTCGATAGAAAGGAATGATTCAATAACAATAAAAAGTAAAAAAATATTTATGAAACATTTAATTAATAATTTGAAAACAAAAGGATGTTACTGCAACTCAATTTAAAATCCTACTTCTAGCACAGGAAACAAAACTATTTCAAAACCGATTATCAAAAAACTATTAATAAATTAATATACAATATATATAACGGGCCGGGCCGTTAAACCCGTTATTTTTTAATTTTGGAACCGGTCCGGTTCCTTAAAAAAAATTACCCGACCCTACCCGGACCGTTTTATGGAAACAAAAAATGGAACCGGCCCGTTTTGGACCCGAACCGCCATTACCCGGACCGGACCGCGGTTCCAAGATCCGTTTGCCCACCCCTAGTGGGTGGTTAGGGCTACTACTACTTTTGGTGAAATATATTTGGGCCGGTAACCAGTCCGGCAATGACACGCTCCGGTAGACATCGTCCCGGGCTTTTATTTGAGGATTAAAGATCCTTTGGTGGTCGTAGTAGTAGTTACCTAATTTACCCTTGGACAATGTCCCTTGTGAGTAGGTGGTAGAAAACATCTTGCCTACTTGGATTTCTTACTACTCGGAGAGCTTGAAATCTCTTTTAGAGGGTGTGCACACTTAAGGTAGAAATTCAGCTTCCAATTGGTGGTTGGTGGGAGCCGGAATTCTGGGATGAGTCGTAGACAACAACGACTCATTGGGCTCGAGGAATCTTGAGTTTCGCCCACTCTTAAAAGAAACATAAAGTATTACTTCTGTTGGAATTAAGAATGGAAATATCTATTGGAGGAATTATTTTGTGACCTTAAATAATTTTGGATATATATATGGGAGGATTAAATATTTTGGGAAATTAAATTTTTTTATTACCATTGAGACTATTGTGGAGAATTATTCCTTATATGGGTTGTTAAAGAAATCTTACTATTCAAAGTTTATAAACATTATTTTGAGCTATGAATGCTATTCTAAAATTTTTACTCCGTATTTAGTATGTTGGAAAGTATACATATTTAACAAAGTATTTTGGAGGACTATGTGATATCAAGACATTATTTTACTTGCATATGTGTGATATGCTGTGCGATGGAATAATTTTTACAAACCCCATTTAATTAGTGTGTGTATTTATGAGATCAAATATTTTACTTGCATTTGAGGAATTGTAAAGTATTTTGAGAAGGTTTTGATATGCCGTAAAAAAGGGGTTTTGACATGTATTTTGAAAAATGATATATGTATCAAACATGATTATTTTACGGGGTTGAGTAGGCCCTTACTTAGGATTTCAAGCTAATTTTTGTTTCTTTGTGTTTTCTTTCTGTACTTTATTTGTGCAGGAATAGAGGATCATATTGAAGTTGCTTTCGAGAGCTTCCGCTATAACACATAGACTAAAGTTGATTGAGTAATTTATTTTGTTTTTAATTTTAAGGAATTGTAGTTGAACAATTAATTATGGAAAAATTTAATTGTTGGTGGTGGATAGCCTGTGCACTCAGTTATGTGAGAACCGAGTGTGGCGGTAACACCCCTTATTTCCATTTAAATTTCCGCTGCACAATTCTGATGTTTTCAAATAAAGTTTAAATTCCTTTGAATAAATCATTATTTAAAGGTATTTTTGGGAGGGAAATTTGGGGGTGTTACAGCTAATTTCCATATGCTTGTTTTGGTAGTGTTGGCTTTGTTGATTTTAGGGATGAATACTACACGAGTTGTGTTTGATCCGGGTGGAACAATGTCGGTTTGGCTTTTGGTGGAAGGGGAGAATTTGAAGTCCATCAAGGTGGGTGAGGGATTGGCGCGTATGATCCGGCCGCCTCAGGTGGTGGAGGAAGAAGATGATATGAGGAAGCTTCATCCCCCTCCCGAACTGCCGCCATCGAAGAAGTGCTTAATTAGGCTCTGGAATATGGTGCTTGGAAAATGGTCTTCACTGTTCTACAAGCTGAAGTTTGGAGGGATAAATGAGGCAGGAGGCCATGAAGACTTTAATTATTCCTATATTTTTTTCCTTTTCAATTGCTCATGTTGCTTTTACTTTCGTTATGACCTCTAGATGTAGGTTGGGAGCTTGGTTTTTATATTTTACTCAGGATGTACTACGGGTGGAAGCGATAAGGCTTGTTTGGTCGTTAAAAACTTCGAAGCTCTCACATGGTTCGCGAATAGTTTCGCTCCTTTCGGGGTGGTCTATTTTATGTCTAGCCAGAGAGTGGGGGGCCTTTTGGCTATGCAGGGCCTCATGAGAAGGTTTGGCGATGTATGTTGGGAAGATCGTTGGAATTTGCGTTTATATAATATAATATAATCAGTTTCCTTTCAAAAAAAAAGTTAGAGCCTCTACTTAAATTAAGCATTTAAAAGCTAAAAGCTTGTAAAGAGGTGCTTTAAACTGCTTTTCACTTTTCACTCTTTAATCCTTATTTCAGCCCTTTTACATCATTTAATCATTTAATCCTTATATCTTATTCTTGTTGCCTATTATGCTTGTGTGAAGTAATACGGGTTTTTACTCAGTATATAGTACTCCATAGCATTCTGCTACTTTGAGTGGTTTCCATGGGTTTCTTCATTATTTGGCTCCTCCAATTATATTGGCTTTGGCTTGGTTTCAAGTTTACGTTTGAGTTAGATTACAGCGGAATGCTTTGTGCACCACGATTTCTCTGTATAGTAACATCTGTAAAGGTATGAATCACATTAAATTAATCTATGTTTTGTAGAAGTTCACTTTGATTTTCATCACCCATCTGTGTTTGACTCCTGCATTTTGAAAATCCAGTTTGATACTTCTATAAAGAGTAAAGGGTCAGTTTGGTCCTCGAAGTTGCAAAAAAGGGGTCAAATAAGTCCTTATATAGAAGATTCTGTCCGGACGTGCCATTTGAGGTGGCTCCCGGTAGAAAATTTTGATGAAATTTTTTGAGCATCTTATTCATTAAGTCTAGTTTACTCATACCAAATTTCAGTTAAAAATTCAATCAGGGAGACATTCAAATGAATTCTTGAAGAGAACTGCGCTTTTAACGGCACAGTTATCTTCAAGAATTCATTTGAATGTCTTCCCGATTGAATTTTTTATCTAAAATTTGGTATGAGTAAACTAGACTTAATGAATAAGATGCGCAAAAAATTTAATCAAAAAATTCCACCGGGAGCCACCTCAAATGGCACGTCCAGACATAATTTTCTATATAAGGACTTATTTGACCCATTTTTTGCAACTTCGAAGACCAAACTGACCCTTATCCCCTTCTATAAATTAAAAGAAGTCAAAATAAGTGGGGAAGTGTAACTACTCTATCTTAAAATCTTATAATGCCCAATGAGAGTGTGAGTATTTAAGGAATGAAAAAAATGTTGGTGTAATGGCTAGCTTAATTGCAAAGTACATTATGTTTAACGGTATGTACTTTATTAAAAAGGACTTAACTCTCCGTTTTAATTCCGTAGGTCGTTCCCATCCGTTCCATCGGTCTCTCATCGTAGCCTTGCTATCTTTCAGAATTCCACACTCCCATCGTTTCCGTGGTGTGCCATTAAGCCGCTAACCATCCAGGTATATTTTCTTTCCGTCTTCTCTGCTTGGCCGGTAGTGCACTTTGGTCATCTCCTTCCTCATTAATACCCCACATGATTGTCATTAATACCTTACAATTGAGTTTATCATTGGCATGAACTATGAGGAGACAAATTATTTGGTCTGCCGTACATTTGGGTTAGTTTGTATTTTGGCTTAGGAGCATCTTACTTTATGTCTTGTATTCGAATTATTATTGAGCTAAACAACGTTTTGTTTGAATTGGTTTCAAGCAATTATTTTAAAGCAGCAAGATGGTTTGACTGGAGAGACAAAGGTTGACGGGCCTTTACTTGTTGATCCGGAGCCTTATGGCGACTCCTTGGTCGCCTAATTTACCTTGCAGTCACGCGACCCGGCTTGACCTATTCTGTTCATATTTTATCTCAATTTATGCAAGCACCATGTCAAGCTAATTGGGATGCCGCCCTTTGGGTGGTCCGGTATCCTAAAGGTTCCCCGGGTCAAGGTATTCTTCTTCGGGCTGACAGTGATTTTTCACTGGCTGGATGGTGTGATTCTGACTGGGCCGCTTGTCCTGTCACTCGAAGATCTTTGTCTAGACGGTTAGTATTTCTTGGCCACTCTCCGATTTCCTGGAAAACTAAAAAGCAATCTATTGTTTCACGATCCTCGGTCGAAGCTGAGTACAGGGCCACATGTGAACTTAAATGGCTGAAAGCGTTACTTCTTAGACTAGGCATTGAACATACCAAAGTTGTCCCTCTGTTTTGTGATAGTCAGTCTGCTTTGCATATTGCTCGCAATCCAATTTTTGACGAACAAACCAAACATATTGAGGCAGATTAAGGACGGAATAATAATAACATACTTATCTTTTTACGATTGTAACATGGTATCAGAGACAAACCGATCCATAACCATGGTGTGGGTCCCTTATGAAAAATGACGACACAATTATGAAAAATGAAAATGACGAATGACAAAAAAAAATGACAGCACGATCCAAACGAAGTGTCTGGTCGTGAGGAGGGGCGATAAAGTCCCACACCGGTAAATTAAGAAGGATTAGAGTGCTATATTAAGTTTCGGGCTACTCCTCCTAACAGGTTGACCTTTTAGGATGGAACCCCGGGTCTTAACACACATGTTCACAACTGATTAAATACACGTGACAACAATCCAGCAGTTGAAATACTAAAAGTAATAGATTTTTTGGAATAGGTTTGGTGATATGTTTTTCCATGTCATTGCTATTCACTGTTACAGTTCAGAGTCATAGGGTATGTTTGGCAAATGGCTTATCAGCCGGCTTTTAACTTGTTTGACCCATTTCAGTTGTTTGATTGGTCAAAGAAGCTAATAATGATGTTTGGTAAATGGCTTTTAAAATTAGCTTGTTGAGTTTGAAAAGCTGAAAAAATGGATTGTTGAAGAAGCTAAGGGGGCAGCTTATTCATTCGGCTGGTTCAATTTACACTCTATCAGCCATTTCAAAACAACCAATTTTACCAAACAATTATCTATAATCAGCTAACATAACCAGCCGGTCAAAACAACTAACACAACCAGCTGTTAGGAAACAGCTGACACAACCAGCTGTTAGGAAACAGTTGACACAACCAGCTAACAACAACAGCTAACAGTCATTTGCCAAACATACCCGTAGTCTATTAATATACATGTACACGGTTCTTTTCATCATCCTATCGCAAGTAAAACCACAATCCAAACTCGAATCCAACAATCCTGGTTATTTAAAAAAAAAAAATAGTTTGTGTCATTTTGGCAATTTAGTTTTTAGCAAAGGGAGTTAGAAATAAAGTAGCACATGAAAGGAGAATAACCTTAGCTTCCCAGAAATAGAGATCAGTGACAAAGAGAGGACTTGATCTTGGTCCTCACCTCTGTATCACTCTTTTCCGTTTTTCTTATATTTAATCTACTACTCCGAATTAATTAGACGGGAACCAAAACCGCCTTCCTATCAGGTGAGGTTTTAAGCATACAAGTTTAAAATATAATTGTTAGGATGTTTTCTTTTGGACCGAAATTTGCTGGTCTCGTCTGGTCTGGTCTGGTCTGGTCTGTTTAAGTCTGGTCTGGTCTGGTCTGAACTGGTCTGGTCTGGTCTGGTAAACGTCTGGTCTCTGTGTATTTTATAACTACGGAAGTCTGGTCTGGTCTGGTCTGTTTAAGTCTGGTCTGGTCTGGTCTGTTTAAGTCTGGTCTGATCTGGTCTGGTCTGTTTAAGTCTGGTCTGGTCTGGTCTGGGACTGAAAACAGTCCAAAAGAAAACATCCTTAGTTCTATAGAAATAAAGTCAAATTGTATTTCTCAAATTTTGTTGGTCAACAAATCAACCAACGAATTCACAGCGTACTGGGCTGTCTATTATCGTTCGCTTGGACGGGCTAAGGGCACGTTGGCGGTGAATCGGGTAGAAAGTGAAAGTCGTCAAACGAATTGTAATACAAGTGCAATGCTTATATCCTATTGATTCTTGATGCTTAAAACAAATAGAGATACATATATATGATTAGTTAATTGAGTTAGAATTTAAAGAGTGAGCTATTAAAGTTTTACCAACTCGGAATTCAATGTCTACCTACATGTTTGTAAAAAATGCCCAAAAGACAGTCTTTTGATACTTTTAATTGTCTGGAACCTTTTTCAAAATCTTTGGTCCTGTTTACATGATATTTTGATATTTTGATTCGAAATATATTTATCACCTATTTCCAGGAAAAGTTTAATTCAACATTTTTTATCTCTTTAATGCAATTAGTCATTTTAATGTAATGGTGCTTATAAGAACTTCTATTTTTTTTGTAGGTTGGGTACATTCCCCTTGACCATGAGCACATGCCTCCTCAAATGAATATGCTGAGAAAATTCTAGAGGCTTCAAACACAGGAGCACATAGATGGAAACCGACCATTTATTTTTATTGGTTAATATTTTCCGGTTATCAATTGGTTTTCATAAATAAATCTAATGATGTATATTGTTACGGAAGTTATTCAATGAAATTGTTAGCCACCTTTTGGAGCTATTTGAAATATATGGATGTAATGGAACTTTTCATTTGCATGGAAAGAGGTAGGTCTCCAATATGTTCAATCAATTGGATGCACTAAGAATGTTTTTACTTAATCGGTAATTTGCTGGTCTTATCTGGTCTGGTCTGGTTTCTTTGTGTTTTTATAATTATCCAAGTCTGGTCTGATCTGATCTGGTCTGGTCTGAGACAAATTACCGTCCAAGTAAAAACAACCTATATTTGTTTGGAGGGCTGACAGTTGCTTGTCTAGCTCAGCCCCTACTTAGCTTTCCGGTAGGCATCAGGAAATTCTATTCTGAATTCCCACTTACGCATGTCAATGTCAAATCCCCTCAATATACAATTCCAACTCGGCCAAAGGGCAGATGGTATGTATTTAGATCCATCCTGATTGTTGGATTTAAATGAAAATCGACTTTATGCGAAAAACAATAGAATCCAAAATATTTATTCATTACTAACATAAACAACCACATTTTACTTTCCAATTGCTACAGAACTAGAGCTTTCAAAGCATTCTGTTATGCTAACTACATGAATGAATTTCGAAACAGAAATAAGTCAAAGGATAGGCCTTAACAAGTAGAAAGAAGATAAAGGAACTCCTTTTTTCACTTCAATTGCATACTAGGATTCGAAAGATTCATTCTGTCCTTTTCCAACCTG